CTGTGTCGGGGGGCAGCTGCTGTCCCCACCGCCCGACCCCCCGGACCGCCACACACAGGTTCCGGGCTGCCCGGACGGCAACATACGTACCGCTGCTGCGCAGGACACAGACGGGGCTGTACGTACCGTAAGCGGGTGCAGTGGCGGCGGCTGCACCGTATCCGTAGGGCGCGGCGTACCCTGCAACACAAGCACACAGGGGGCTCACGCCAGCGCCACGGCTCTGGGGGGAGCGCGAGGCCTGGGGCTGCAGGGGCCTGCGGTGGGCGTTTCTTTGGAGCCGGGCCCAACATGCAGTTGCTGAGGAAATCTAGCCCTGGAACGTGCTCCGTGTTTTGGAAGCGGGTGCAGCGCCCTCCCCGTCTACCCCCAAATCCACTCCTGCGCAACCCAAACGTCCTGTTTCAGTTGGGGTGGGGGAGAGCAGGTTCTGCTGTGGGTCTCGGCAACAGGTCGAGGTAGTGGCCGCAAGCGTGGATGCGAGCCCCTCCGTCTGGCACGGCCGCTTCCTGAGCCCCCACACGGAAGACGCCGGGAGCAGAGACATGGCCCGCGACGTGCAAAGCTCATCCTTGGGCCGGGGGCCAAGGCCGGGCCCCACCCCTCCAGCAGAGTGCCCGCAGCAGGGCTCGGCCCAAGCACGGAAGGGCTGACTCTGTTCCAGAGGCGTCAGCTCTCTGGCCAGATCCAGGAAAGTTGTGCACCTGCAGTGGGCGCACCAGCCCAGGGCCAGGAGCTGCCTCCGACTGCGCAACCCACTCGGCCGTACCTGGAGCCAGGTAACCAGTGGTGGCGGCTGCCCCGACGAAAGCGCCTCGTGCGAGGGCCCCCCTTCCTCTCCCTCGAGCCGCCTGGACGGCCGCGGACACGGCTGTGTTCACGATCCCTTTTGCCTGTGGAGGGAGCAAGGCGGGAGAGGTGAGGAGTGCCCCAGGGGAGCGAACGGCAGCTGGGAAGAGGCCTAGGCGCTTGGCCAGCGGGGCGGCCCAGACCACCTCCTCGCACGCTGGCCGCCGGGATCAGGGCTCTTGGGGGGCCAGCGGAGGCCTGGAGAAGAGGCCAACCCCCAAATCTCATCACATCCGCTTGGGTAAACCAAAACCGGTGCTTGTCAGGGCCACCCCCAAGGCCCCGGGGACGCCGCCGGAGACCTCTGCCCTGCACAGGCCTCGTCGGCCTGGGAGGGCGCAGCGGCTCCCTGCAGAATCTGCCAGCAGCCGGCAAGGTCACCGCTGCAGAGCTGAGGCAAGGGCATCCGGTCGGCATCCACCCGCTGTCCCGTCCGGGCGCCTGGCTGGGCACCCCACCCTGGCCAGCGGCACACGCCACTCTGCGGACTTTCTGCAACACCCCAACGCCAGCAGCCACTTCTGGTGGAAAGCATGGGACTGCTGCTGGTGTGGGGGTCCCGGCACGAACCGTGTTCGGGTACTGCTGGCTGCCCCCCCTCCCCTGGCGGGGGCTCCACAGATGGGAGACAGGCGATTTCACCAGCCGGCCAGTCTGAAAGCAAACCGCTCCACCGGAACGGCTCCAGGCGCCCAGCGCAGCAGAGCCCACCTGGTCCCTGCACAGGAGGGGGCCGCCAGATTCAAGCGCCGGGGGCACCCGGAGGGGCCCGACTCTGCGCTGCTCCTCCAGGTCCGGCGGACAGATCGGCCCTCCGGCGGCCCGGCAGCGTCTCCTCCGCCTGGGCAGCGAGCGGTGGGCCCGGCCAGGCTCCCCACAGCGGAAGCCCCCGGCCCCCTCACCTGGGGGAGCAGCTTCTTTTTCTTGTTGGCGGCCGCGTTGGGGCCGGAGAAGAGCTTCTCGAGGGCCGCCAGGGCGGCGCTGGCCTTGGCCACCTTCTTGTTGGGACCGGCCCCGCGGAACTTCTGCCCGTCGACTTCAACCTGGAAACGAGACGGCTGAGTTGCACCTGCGTGCGCCACCTGCCGGGACGCCCCGAGCCTCGGCCCGGCCCCCGAGTCCGAAAGTGGACTCACTGGGGCTCTCCCGCGCTCTTACAGGAAGGGACTCGTGGGGCAAGAGGAGAATTTGCTCAGGCACTAGACAAGGGAGGGGCTCCAGGCAGGCCCCTGACACCTCCCCGACCCCCAATTCAGGAGGACCCAAACCGTGGTGCCCAGACACGGACAGGGAGCAGCAAGGGACCGACGGCAGCACCTTCTACGGCCACAGATGGGCAGCCCCACGCTTGGCGCCCACGAGAACTGCCCATTTCTGCCCATTCCAAGCGCATTCCAAACATCAAAACCATGCCAGGACACGTCGTTTTTCTAACCCTGACCCTAACCTGGGGCACACCCCTAACCCTAAAACAGGCATCAAGTTCCATTGAAAATAATGCGATTTCTTAAAAGCCTCCTTTGATAGGGTTTTTCGGCACAGCTCAACATTTCTGCCCATTCTAAGCGCATTCCAACCATCAGATCCATGCCAGGACACCAAGTTTCTCTAACCCTAACCCTAACCTGGGGCACTCCCCTGACCCTAAAATAGGGATCAAGTTCCATTGAAAATAATGCGATTTTTTAAAAGCCTCCTTTGAGAGGGTTTTTCGGCAC